GTTTACATCTTAAAGTGATGTTATCGGATTTTCCAATACCGCAGAGATTTTATAGAGTTTATAGCGACGATATTAATATTTCGCGGCTTTAAACGAGACAAGAACTAAACTAGAACTTCATTTACTTAAATCGAAGCTTACATTTTGAAAATTAAACTTGCGTTTGTTCGGTTTATTTAAAATAACGCAAGTGTGCAAATATTTTCCACACATTTAATGTAACAGTATTCATACAGCATGTCATATGATAACATCATATGCTGGTTACATATAATTTAATAGAATTATATCTCCTGCAACGTACATATATGCTTATTATTGATTGTGATGTAATATAACAATTGGAGTAATAACAACTTGGCAAGGGGTTCGGTATATCAGCTACCGAGCACGGATTTCTCATCCGGATAAACGGAGTTCCACTGTACCTAACAAGCTCCGCGAGAGCTCGCCGAAGATCCCGGAGGTGTAACTCTTCGAAAGAGCAGGATGAAGCGAAGTTGAAAGCGGGTGGGTATTCCGCGAGACGCACGTCGAGTATATAACGCAGTTAAGCACCCGGTATTTTTCTTTCGCGATGCAACTTCGCGCGCCGCGGAAACTAGCCGATCGTTCTCTCGAGAAGGGAATATATATGAGGTTTATATCGCGCGATTTTCTCTGTAGAATTTATTATATGATATACTAAAAATATTGTTACATAGCGCGTATTAATCGCGCTTGAAATATGTTTGTTTCAGCAAAATATCTGGTTCACGTCGCGTTTGAATTTTAAATATATATTATTAAAACAAGCTGTGAAGTACATAAATATACATAAGCGCGCATATTTTTTATTCCAACGATACAATACCGTTCCAAAAGTTCTCGATGGAAACTTTCGCCAAATTGACATATTTATCTTATCAACGTCACGGGGAAAAAAAGGAGGAGCCCAAGTTATAACGTGGTTTTATGACGTCGAGGTTACAAAACGTCAAATTCTTGCTCACTTTTACAACGTCGAGTTCTCGCGCGTCAAATTGTAATGTTATTTCGTCAGGGAATAAATATCTCGCAATTGTTGCGAAATGTTTGTTCACACGTCGGTGAACTTCACGGCGAACAAAGGGCATCGCTCTTTGTAAGAGCGTAAAGTCGAGTGACTTCGAATACGGCGGCAATAAAAGGCGACGCTCGGTAAAGCCGAGGTGGCGAGGTGGAGGTTTAACCCCCGGTAAAAATGCGCCGCGTTCTATTTTCCTTTAAATTCCGTGCGGATTTCGCGCGTCCCGCCGCGCGAAATCCCCCGCGCCGGTAAAACTGTCGAAACTTAAGCGCAATATCACCGCGACCGTTTGACTTACGATTGCGACTCTATTGCGGCAGCCGGGGCTTATCCGGCGCGATTCCCGGGTCGCGGTGAAACGCTCCGTCCGCGTTTCCGCGTTGCGGAAAATCTCATCGCGTCGCGCCGCGACACGTCGCGCGATTCCGACACACGATTAATTCGCGCGATAAGTCGGAAAGTAAATATAAACGAACGCCGATCGTATAGATAATTGAATAAACGATGCTCGTTAATAAAACTATCACTTCGCGCATTATTGCGCTATACAATGTATGAACTCATTAATTATTAATGTACACGAAATATTTATCGAGTAATTATATATTAATAAAATCAATGCATCCAGCACGTTCAATTTAACCAATAAATTCTACGTACATACACAAATTTTACGCCTTTCAAATGCAATAATGCAAAATTATGTATATAAGAATATTATATTATTATGCCATGCATAATCAGCTTCATTATATGATACGAGTAGGGTTTGTACTTTGATTTGAATATAGATCCGAAATCTTAACTCACGTATTCAGCGAATTCGAAGAGATGCAATTTGGTTTGAGAGAATTTCACTAGCTAGTTTGTGTAGCACGCGTTTTTCTACAGCGATAAGACTGTATCACTATAATTTAAAGTAAAAAGAACACGTGTTTTTATTTATTTTTTTGAATCGCTTTCCTTCCCGACACGATGTATTAAAGAACCGATCGCATTTTTCGTAATTAAAGCGACGTGGAAAATTAAACGCGGGCGGACGCAATAATACTCGCAAGCCCCGAGACGTATTATTCGCGCTTTATTTCGGGCGAAATTTCGTGTTCCACACCGCGAATGATGGTGAAACGCCATTTGTTCTTTCCCACTAAAAAATACCCCGAAGCTCTCACGACGAAGGGTCGAAAAATTGCTGGGCCGATCACACGCTCTTTTTAACAGATTAACCGTCCGGTTGTTTGCACGGCTCCACCGTTTTCTGATAACCGAGATACGTATCGCGCTGCTTTACATTCTCGAGATTCAACACCACGCGTTATTTCTACGTAAAATCACAGAGACTTATTAGGAATTTTTTAAAGTTTTTCAAACAATTTTTTAAATATATTAATCTTATTAAACAACTTATTTCTTTATCAATTTTTATTTATATTAATAACTATCTCTTTCCCTCTTTCGTCTCGAAAGAAATCAAAAAGCTTACTTCACAATTTAATTATTAACTCAACACTTAATTAACGCTTATTATTCTTTGCTAACTCCATCTCTAATTCTGAAAAAGCTTACTCTGCAAATTAATTATTAACCTGACACTTAACGTTTATTACCCTTTGCTAATCCCGTTTCTAATTCTGAAAAACCTTACTCTGGAACTAAATTGTTATCTTAACACTTAACATTAATTACTCTTTGCTAATCCCGTTTCTAATCCTGTCTCTAGACGAAGACAAAAAATAGTTAAACCTCGGTTAATTCTAGCTAATTCTCGCGGCTTTAAAAAGGCACGCAGCAATAAGGCAATCTGAAAAGAACGATCGGCGAATTGTCCTGAGAGAGAAGAATCTCGAGGATTATTTCCGCGACGGCAAGTAGTTTCAAGTCGAAGCCGCGCAGCGGCCAAGAAATTCCGGTATCTTCGCTCGCGAAATCCGTAGCTTTATTACGCGGGAGCCCCGACGCCGGCGGAATATTCGCCGCGCGCGTTTCCCGTTTCTCTCCGCCAGGAGAGAAACGTTTATTTTTGTTAGAAATTCAACACGGGCGCGCGCGTACGTTCTCGCCGTGGAGGGTGCAGTATTTTTGTTCTCTCCCTTGTATATATACGGGGGAGGAGAGAGAGAGAGAAAGAGAGATACTGCATCGAGAGAGCGGTGCGGCGCGGCGCAGCTCTCGAGCGAATTTACCACGCCCGTGCGATACCGTTAAAGGCAACGCCATTAGACGTACGTATACGTACGTATAGCAGCGACGGGAACAGACGTATCGCGAAACGTATGTACGTATCGCGGCGGCAATAGCAGTCGGGCCGTCAGTAAATATGGGCCGAAGTAGATACCATTAAATCCAGACGCGATACCGCGCGTTGGCCCGGCCGGCTGCTGCTGCTACTGTTGCTGCCGTTGGCTCGTACTTCGAATCGTTCGTCTTAAATTGCCCCCATTAAACGCACGTACGCGCACGTAAATCCTCACGGTGTCGGCCGCCGCCGCGATTCGATTATTCGCCCTATAATTCGGCTCGCCGCTCCTGCCTTGTGCGTTACCCCGCTGCCGCCGTGTGTTTGTTCATTATGTTCCGTTGTCGTGACGTTGATCGATATACCGCCGCAAGATTGCACGGAGCGTTTGGGAAAGTGACGTGTGGATACTACCATGATCACGTAAAGCGTTTCGTTAAATTAATCTTAAATGAAAATCATGGGAGCAAGGTAATTACATCGCAATTTTTGTGTGCGTAAAATTTATGAGTAATATAAAAATGTAATATAAAAATGGATACTTTTATAGAGTTATATTGATGGAACGAAACATATACCTCTCTCTGATGAAAACTTAAAAGAGCGTGTGAATATAATTCAGAGCAAGCATTTCGATTTTTAAAAAAATTACAAGCCCAAACAATATGGTACAGACTGCGTGTGAGCATTTTCCCCTCAATTTTAATAAAGCTGAAATTTAATAAGCAACCTAATTAAGAAACTAATTAGTCTAGCTTAAAATTAAATGGTTCGATAAAATTAAGATGAAGATTAATAAATCAAATAAGACTAAACATCTCGATTAACCTTAATAAATGGAACCGTTAATCATAATTTCAATTGGACAAAATATTTAATATTTAATTTTGAAAAGTCAGGCTTTTTCAATATCTTGGGAACGTATCGTTATATTTTCTTGAGCCCCTTTGAGAAACATCAATGTCGATGAAATCTGTTCCAAATTGCCCCGAAAGTTTTGCACGTAAAAAGAAGATACCAAACTTTTTCGTGATTCATTTCGAATCGCATTTCATTCCAAGTTTCGTATCATTGTTATGAGAATGTTCTTTGTTGTAAGATTGATAGACGATGATGAGAACCGAGACAGAAATTGCCGTTAGATACTTTTACGTCTCTCTTTTACTTAACGGCAAAGTCCTGCCCGCGATCCGATTCGACAGACCTATCATCAATCTTAAATGATTACTGCCTCATCAGCTGATTCGATTAAATCTTTCTCCTCTCTCTCATCCAATTTGATAAGTTTTCATTTCTATTATCGAAGTGGAACTAAAAAAAAGTTTAATATGACACATCGTAAGTCAAACTTCGCGATTAGTAATAAATTATTGTATCAAAATGTACAAGAAAATATTTAATTGAATTATTTAACAAATTTTTCTTTGTTTGTCTCGAAAATTTCTATTTTATTCTATTTTGTTCTAAAATTTTATTACACAAAAATGAGAAAGCAACACTGTGTTTGGAAGAAAAATGTTTACAATAATCATACAAAATAATTTAAGATGATTCTAACATATTTTTATAATTTATATATGTTATAAATCTTTATTTATATATATTGACATTCTCTCATCTTCGATACACTTGTACGCTCTCTAAAGGAACATTTCCCTTGTATTCTCGTCCGCGATACAATCCGACTGATCGATAGCGTTGCGCTTTGTGTTTCAGGGAGCCGAACTGCAAGCTGAGATCTCTGAACGTATCCAAATGTCTTCTGGGCGGCTTGGATGCCGGCTGTTTAGGCGAAACCATAAGGAAGGCTCGCAATTTGGATGCCTTGAGGGCCGCTGGAGCGTCGAGGCCGGCCGATGTGATGCCTCTGGTGCTGGCCCTGACGGAAGCGCCCTGTCTCCAGCTGCTGGATCTGTCTAGTCCCCGACTGGCCCTGGACGATCATCCTTCGAGGCTGTTGTGCCACGCACTGGCCAGAAACACGACCCTTAAGCTGCTCAGTCTGGAGGGATGGACTTTCCGGATAGAGGTAAGTGAGACATCCCGTTGTTATTCACGTGGCTTGTTAGTTACGCTTTAATGTGTTTTATTTGCCATTTTAATGGAAAAGATGTGTAATAATAAGTAAACAAAAAAAGAGTAAAAGAAGAATTTAAACTCTTATAAAACGGCAAAGGGCTTAAATCTTTCGTTGTTCGAAGCTTTCTTCTTGAATCTCTTCAAACGGTAGCTTCGTGAAATCATCGACTCAAGATATATTGATGAAGTTTAAAATATACGATAAAATTTAATAACCATATTCGTTATATTAAAAAAAAAAAACAATGTTGATAGAATTTAAAAATTGGACAAGCTCTTTCAAGATTGTTTGTCGTAATGAGCAGGAGAATCCATTCGTTAACAATTAAACTTCCTGCGCTTTACAAAGGGAAATTTCAACGTAAGTTTCGTTATTACATGCCGTGAATAAACATGCACGTACATAGTAGGCGACGAAACGTCTAGCTCACGTCGCAACGTCATCTATTTTCGTATATTTTCGCGCGCGAGGAAGAGCAGAGCTCGCGAAGGCGAGATAAGGATAAATTAGAAGGAGCGGAAATTATTTGCTCTTCCGTGCGGGCGTGCAATACGGAAAAGTGCCAGACGGTAATGTTCCGCCACACCTCCGCAACCGCAGACACTCACAATAGCACAACCGAAAATGGAGGAGGAACCGAACGACCAACTATATAAAAGTCTCGATAACAATACCTGAAAATTCCCCGTTCGTGCTATTGTGAAGACTCTCGTCCCCAGGATCATACGTAAGTTAGTAATGCAAAAATCGCTAACCAAACATTAATCTTTTCTAAAAAAAATCGACGACACGTGAGATAGAGGAATATATTTAAATAAAAATATATTCAAGAATTAGTTAATTCAACTAATGTTTAGTTATATTTTAGTTGGATGAAACACATTTTGCGTTTTTGCAAAATAGCATTTTAAATTATCTACTTTGCGTCGCATGTTGATATCATTCGGCCCATATCGAGTGTCCTTTGTTCTACTAACAAGTGGTGATACTCTCGAACTATATTATCCGATAATCGTAAACGATGAAAACGATGATGAGGAGATCGCGCGACATTCCGACCCAACTGGTGCATCTGGCGTCGCAATCTTCGCGTTCGATAAACGCCTCTTATTATACACGAACTACATACGCTTGCACTCTCGGCCCCATGATAGTAACGATAATAATTATTAATATTTACCGAGACCGAGAGAAGCGACCTGATCCTGGTGAATATTAATAATTATTAAATAACGTTAGATTAACGTGAACGATGTCGTAACAACGTAGCGCTCAACCGTTTCGCCGCAAAATTTCCGCAACCGTGACACGCCCCATGCTCTCACTTGATACGCAATATCCTATAGCCTTCGCGTAAATGGGAAATAATCTCAAAGCGTCGCTCTTTGATTTCGATAAGCTTAGCGATCGTAGTAAGACGCGAATTATATTTTATGCTAGGATTTCTAGATAAGCTTTCTTTGTTTTTTAAATCTTGTTTTTGTTTATGTAAATTCATTCAGTTCTTTTTTTATTATTATTTTTTATTTGGTTACTCATACGTTTTGCCTAATAATATTTGACTGGATTAACCGAGTTCCGATCGATAAGACTGACTTAAGGGAAAATTTTTTATTATTTTTTAAGTAAAATACACATCTGATTTTAATTTTTATGATATTTAAAGATATATTTAATATATGGTATACAAAACATCCTTGCGTAATAGATGACAAAAATGTAAGAGAATACATGTATATAGGTATGCGGATAATAAACTATAATATAATTATAAAAAGAGATCTTTTAAACGTTTTAGCAGCAATCATGTGCTTTATAGTGTTTATGCTATAATTAAACGGATAAATTAAGACTACATTTTTAATTTATGAATAATATCGACAAAATATATAAGTCGTTTAATTTATCGGGCTTTGTTAAAGGCGCTTTTGGTCAGAGGTACGCCTGAACTTTGTAAAAGACGAGTTTATTTCCGTTATAGTCGCGTCCAAATAACTATCTCGCGTAATCTATAAAGGGATGCAGGAGGAATCGCTCTCATCGGGAAACTGCAATATCGTTTCGATACGAAGTTCTCTAGTTAGATTCACGAGTCAATATTGTTTCCATTTCGTTAAGCTTTGAGACGTCGGCAAAAGTCGGGCTGAAGAGAGAAGCGTAAGAAAGAGAGATAGATGGGTAGATAGATAGTTAGCTAGACGGATAGAGAAAGAGAGAGAGCGAGAGAGAGAGAGAGAGAGAGAGAGAGCACGCTTTAGAATTTACAGGGAGAGGTCGGTTCCACGGTATGCGTTTGGAATCTGCAAGACTGCACCCTCGGGGTGTATCCTCGGGCTTTCGAAGAAGTTATCGAACGCTTCGAGAGATCGACGAAAGAAATCAACGAGGGCGGCCTTTGGTCTGCCAACAGTAACTTCGTATTCCCGTAGCAAAAGGGAATCGACTGGAACTCCGCGGTTTTCCATCGAGTGTCCGATCTGTCTGCTCTTTCGAACCCGGAAATTGCCGGGTAAAACATTTCTGTAGCTTTTAACCTGGTAAAACTAACTTTTTTGACCGACACTGTCGCGAGATCAAAGTAGCGTAGCGTGTCATAACAGCGAAATCCGCGAAGAACTTTTCGAGATACGTTTTTGACGTTTCTCGCATATGTATACTGAGAAATTTTTAACTGTGACTTACACGCTGCATTTTACGATTAACAAATATTAATTTAATATTTTATAACTTTAATACACAATATGTACTACTTCTGAAAAAAACTATAATATTGAAGTTATGAAATGAGATAAGATAAACGCAAGTCAGAATCCTCCTTCAAGTAAAATTTTTCTCTACATTTTTCCTCTTACATTTTAAATTAAGATTATATTCAAGACTGTAAGATAATTGCCTGAGACAAAGAATAATAATCGATAAAAATATACTTTCCCTTAACAGTAATCTAATAGAAGAACTTGCTGCCTAAATAATTCAAGGGGAAACATATTTCTTCCGCGCGAAGGATTAAACTTGAAGAACTTACTAACAACATTTATTGCGCGGGACAGCGCATATTTATCGCCATTTATTTACCCGGCGAATATTGTTTACAAGCCGCGAGAGTTCCCGCCGAGCGCCTGGCCGCAATTAAAGACTTTCAAAGTACATGCTAACGAGCGCGGTCGCTTCCGTCCGTCCTGCGGCGTAACAACCTCGTGCGTTTAATCGCTCGACGTTTAATCACATTCATAAACGACGAAATTTTGAAGCGTGCTGCACTCCGTACCCTGTAGAGCGGCTGAGGATGCTGAAAATGCCAGGAGAAACCGTTTTCAATTTTAACTTAAGATGTATATTTCGCTGCATACGTCGAACGCGCGATTTATGAAACAAATTCCCGTTACAATATTCTTTATCGCGATATTAAATATATAACGAATAAAGTGTCCAAAGACTGTCTAATAGTCAACTAAGGACGATATATTCTAATTCTCATATTATATTTATATTTATATTGCTGGCTAATTGTAAGTTGAAACGTACAGTGCTTTTTATCTTAATTTTGTAAATAAATTTGCGTTTTATTTTTAATCGATACCTCATTGTGTGCTCGTTATCGAGCTTTTCTCTTAAGTTTTACATCAAGAGTTTGAGTCTTTCCTCTACCTCGGATGTTAATTATCTTTTATCGCGAAGTTCTATTAAATCTCACGCAAAAACATTGAATTTCTCCAAATCTGGACTATAATTTTAATTAGAAGGAAGTAATCAATTTATTACAGAGATTATTGTCGTGGTTATTTTCCTCTCATTTACGGCGACAATATCACGGCTTTCAAATTTGAATACGAGCCACTTTGCGCCCCATATTATACACGAGATAGCCTTTTTAGTCTGCTATTTCGCCCTTCTGTCCGTCCCTTCACCGGAATTGCTGGCGACGAGCCATTATCTCGTCAAGATACGAGTTTTGCGCGCGACAGAGACGATCTTGCTTGTAAATGGCTCGAAATTAGGGACCAAAGGAACGGAATAAGAACGAAGAAGGACGAAAGAAGAGGGACGCAGCCGGCGAATAATCCCAACAGTCGCACACCCTGCGAGTGGATAATTAATTATCGGCGATTCCGGTTCGCGCTAAGAGAAGCGTGGAATAAGGGTGGCGGCGATGGGGGGGCGCGCACGCGAGGGGTGGCCCGCGGGATGACTCGAGTATTGTTTAGACGCTCACTAATTACAGAACAGTCAGCCCGGGAACTCGACCCGCCGGGCGGAAGCGAGGTGGTACTGGAGATACCTTCAATTTATTTTGTTCTTACGCGGCCCGGACCCCATTGTCTTGGCTCGTTTATTAACGGCGACGCCACCTTCGCGGTCTGTGTTTGCGAGGGTGGATCTTTAAGAGCGTGTTTTTTTACAGCGGGACACGGAACTTGAAAAGACATTCGTGCGCCCATTACTGCAGGACCCTACGGTTTCAGACAGATGTATAGTTTACAAGCCTCATTCCTCCCTGAGCCTTTCGTGAATTTTAATTTGAATCTTGATGTGACATCCTTTTTATACTATTTCAAGATTTTAAGTTCGATATATTTTATTTATTGATCTGAGATCTTAATTTCTGATTTAATACTTTCGGTAACCGAAATGTCCCTCCGGAAATAACTATATTTTATAATAGCGAGAAAGAACTGTAGCTCATATCGACAGTATTATATGCAGGATTTATTCTGAAGCTCTCTTTCGAGGAGAGACGCGAGATATGGGCACCCCCGCGCCTGCTGCGCGAAGAGATTATTCAAATCCGAGCGTAAGACGCAATTCTCCCGCGGGATTCTTTCGAGCCTTCCTGGAAATCTTCGTGATAGTTTATTATTCTGTCGATGGGCGTGATTTTTTCTTTTATCCCACAACGATGAGATCATCGAAAATGATCTAAATCTTCTATTGACACATGATTTTCATAA